CTTTTGGAAGTTAGACAAATTCGCCTAACTGATGTTATACGTGCGTGACCATGTTCGCATTCATGGCAGTTGTGTTAGAAGAACATCTGGATGGACAGACATCAGACCTTTGAGAAACAATTATTACAACCCATCAATTTGGGGGTTTGAGCCAATTTCCCAAAAAATTAAATAAGAAATAATAAAAAATAAAAACAATAAAAAACCCTTCCTTCTAAAGTGATAAAGATTGTATCATACTGCAAGAAACCACAAATAAATGCAAGAGCTACTGGACCTAATGAAAATCTCAAGTGTTAATTCTCACAACAGCACAAATAGAAAAAAAGCAAAGGGGCAGTATAATGTAAAATTAACTTTTTTGAGCTTTGCATCAAATATCATGTTATTCCCTCATCAAAAACATACCTGGAATGTTGCCTAGATCTTTGTATGCATGTTTGAGAAATCCTTCAATGTCTCGTGGCAACCATTCAGCTGTGCAAAACACCTGGGTGGACCAGGAGGAACGCAGAAAATGTGACTGTCGGACAGCAGGAAGTGGGGCCGAGGGTTGTCAATTTCCGAGACCACACACACAAAAAAGAAAAAAACTTGCAAAAGTGCACACAGGGTCAGTGCAACCCCAGAGGACAGTGCACAGAGTGAAAAACGTGTGCACCGTGTCTGAGGGTTAAGAGTAATTAAAAGGCAAAAAGAAAATATCTTCTCACTCATGAGAATATAATATCTTAATAATATAATAATATTATATTATAATATAATAATATATCTTCTCACTCACTTCTTACCGTAACCCTACCCTAAGATTTCAGTTGTGTGAAATCTTCATTTTCTTTTGTTTATTAATTTTTTCGTTGCAAGTTTCATAACATCGAGTTTTCCTTTAAATCTGCAGCGTTATCATCAGAAGCCTGAAAAGAGTTTCTAAATCATATGGTGCTTCATCAACTTTAACTTTCTTCTCATTGCATCCCATCCTACCTGTCCTCTCAGCAGCCAGATACACTTGTGGTAAATTTTACAGTCAGACTCGCCCTCAGCAGGGATTGAGTTACTTGGCGCTTGGAAGCTGGAAAACCGTTTATTAACGGTGCGCTTAGTGCATGCAGGTTGTCCTTTAAATTACTTTTAAAGATCTTGTTTAATTTTTCTGCTTCAAGTAACATTCGGAGAAAATTACGTGACTGGTGATTTAACACTTAGTCTAACAACATGCTGACAACGTGACATTCCAGTCTAAGGACCACCATCTCTTTCATTTCATTACCTTTAGTCAGTTCTGGGTTTATTTTTGCCTGATTAGCAACGTTGGTTTTACATATTTGACTGCCTCACCCTTCAGCACTTTATTTTTTTTCTTCTCAGGTTTCCAACCTCTACACATATCTCGGTGCTGTCTTTTTTTTTTTCTTATTATTATTATTGCCATGGCAAAGGATTAATTAAAGGAACTTGCTAAGTTTGAGTCAGACTCTAAGAATATTACCAAGTTTGACAATTGAGTAGGGTGTGCTTCAGGTGGTAACTTCTGGCTGCAAATGTAGAAAGTGAAAGGTGTACACAGTGAGCTGATTAAGTGTTATAATGAAAGGCGATAGAGTCTGAGTGGCCACTTCAGTTTTTTCTGGCAAAAATGAAAGTCCCTTCAGAGAGCGGCAGAACATTTCATCTTAGTACCTCATTAAAGCACATCTTACAACAACAACTTTTCAACTCGAATGATAAAAGAGAAACCCAACTTGCAACGTTCAGTGTTTCTGTGATCCTCTCCTACAAATGGAGCTTTCTGTGTTTGTTGTAATCACTTCTCTCTGACAGGTAAAGACGCTTTAATGGGGAAATGCTGGTCACATTCAGGAATCTTAAAGAACAGAGAGTGGGTGGACCTCAGGACTGGGAATCGCTCTACAGTAATTTGTGAACCCAAACCTAAACCAGGGAGCTTAAAAGGTTTTCTAGTTTGAAATGTTTTTTCTTTATCCGTACGGCTACATTAACAATGCTTTAATTTTTGATACTATACCACATCATACTACCATTATTTGAAACCAAAGTTCACAAAGTGCTGTACATTTGCAAACGACAAAAAAATAAGAAATGAAAATCCAACATGTTAAAAACTAGTCAGCCTCTTCAAATGTGCCAGAAGCTTAAGTGGTTTGTAACATTTGTTTTGATGTGCATTTCTAAATAAAAATGTTTATGTTTTAGGATTGTAAAATAAAAGCATTAATTTAATGATTAAAATGTTGGTTAGTGTTTAGGAAACCACATACATTCTAAAAATAATAATAATAATTAAAAGTCCACAGTAAATGCTAAAATAAGAAAGCAGCATGTGCTCTAAAACTGTATAAAACAGTAATGCTTTAGAAAGTCTCAAATGCCTTCAGGCAATGAAGAAACAGATAGAAAAATCAACATTTGTTTCTGGAATTCTGTTTAAAGGGTGTACACTGCTGGGTCATCAACTTAATTTTCAAACAGTTTGGAAAATATAAATTTTTTAGTTTGTGGCACATTTACAAAAAGTACCCGTTTTTGCAAAGCTCTTGGTTTAAAAACTAACTAAGCTTGTTTGCTCTTTTACTTTTTGCCCTGATATTAGTTTTTAATAATCCCTCTCCTTTTTAGGTAATCGGGGATGGTGGTGGTTGTCATCAACACTGAATTCATACACATACATATGTAAACTCTAAAGCTAAACATCCAGATCCACGGAGACCAAGTTCGATGACAGTGTGTGTGCAGGCTTAATACCACAACCCTGTGGTCTTTTCCTCAAAGAGTGTGCTGTCCTATATGCTGCACCTTGGGGGATATTAATAGATCGGCTACAGTATTTACAGAGATCAATACAGTAGAATATTGGTCCTCTCTCCCTCTTTCTGCGTTTCTGTGTGTTTCCGCTCAAATCAATAGAGCATTTATTTTAGAATGTCAGCAAGACACAAATGCTGCCTTTCTCCCAAAACACCAAATTTGACGTTTTGTGAGCAATGGCCTACATGACCCAAATAGAGAAGATGTTCTGCTCTTTAGATTGAGGTCAACAAATGAAAAGTGAATCCCCTTCAAAACTTTACATCAACCTAGTTTGATGTAAAGTTGTTACTAGTTTACCTAGGCACTAGGTAAACTAGTACGTAGGTAACTTATTTAGTTTACAGGTAAATCAGGTAAGTTATGTAAAGTGCACCCTTGACATTGGCCATTTCTCTCATTTATCTGGGAGGACACTGGGTAGATAATTGACTGTCCAGTCATCTTTAGCATAAACTTAATGAAAAATATTCATGTCATTACATCGCCATACAAAATGACCTCATTTGCAAACTGTTGAAGGGTTTTCTGCCAACATGTTTAAGCACTCTTTTCATTCCACTGTTTTTCCTTTTTTTTAATGCGTTAATAAGGCATGGGCACAAATGCAAAAACTGGAGAGGAAAATAAAGGCAGAGAACAAGCTTGAGAATATTATTTTTTTCAGTTAGACTAAATTATTTTGTCATGACAATGCATCTGTTTCTGCTACTGAAAAATAATAAACAATGAACATGAGAATTCAAATATATATTATTTTTAAAGTGACTTTTTTTTTTCCATATGTCAAGCCCACAGTTAAGTTATGTTCAGTAAATTGCAATATTATTGAAAAGTTCATTTATTTCAGTAAAAATAAAAAAATTTACAGCTTACACATATACTGATGCATTCAAGCCTTTATTACCCGCTAACTGATGATTTTCTGATTATGGCTAATGAAGACCAATAAAAAAATAAAAGAAACGTATACTTGCTTAAGGGTTATTTAAGCAATAGATACATTTAATCTGACAAACAAGTGTCAATGGAACCCATTTTCTACTTTATTGGATATGTCTGTTCTTAGTTAGCTGAAACCAGAGGTGATCCCAGCCAGTTTGGCGCCCTGGTTGAACCACCTCAGCGGCGCTCAACCTCTCCACCCCCAACCTACAAAGTTATTGAGAACAACGGGGTGGACTGGGGGGATTAATGTTGGGGCGGCTGTGAAGTTGTGTGGTGTAAGGGTGAAAAAAAATGATTCAAATAGAATGTATTTTAAAAGACTAAGAAAACAAGCATAGTGGATAAATTTGTCAAAGTGCAAAATTGGACAAATGTATTGGGTTCCCTATTAAAGATGTGTAAAAGATTAAATGAATCTCTTTTTGCAGTATTACGAACACACACTGAAAGCTGTGAAAAATAAAATCTACCTTAAATTTAAGTGCACTTATTGAGTGGGGAAAACAATTCTATGTCAAAACTATTTTGCACAAACCCCTTTGATCAATAAAACTGCACTTAGCTTTCTTCTGTAACATTTCATATTGTTGGGGCTTACAGAGAGAGGTGCCTTTGTTCGTTGTTCAAGGCACAATCTCTTCAGATCATGCACAGTATGAGTTTTTTTTTTTCTTCATATATTTGCCTCTCTGACTCTACAGGGCTTTGATAGCATTTACAGGGCCAATGAAAAGTTTTGACAAAATATTTACAAAAAAAAAAAAAAAATGTCAATGTCAAAGTGAAGACTGATTTCCATAAAACAATCACAATTATTTCAAACCATGAAACGTAAAATAAGTGACTGTGTAAAATAGTTTAGGCACAAGGGTCAGAAGGTGAATAGAAAATCAGTACCAGTCACCCGGTTTCAGTTTCTTCAAAGGACTTTTTATTCACTCTTTTCTCTGACTTCCTTCCCTGAACATCCAAAAGCTCACTGTTTTTATCAAGACCTGTGCTTGATTGGACACAGCCACAATGGAACAGATCAGACAAGCAAAATCTAAACAGAGAAACGCTAAAATTACAAATCTAATTTACAAACTCCTACATAATGAAGTTGTCTGCAAAACAAACTACACAATACAAGATAACTCAAAAGATTACTTTAAAGAAAACACACACAAAGCAATACACAAAAGAAAACCCTCTAATTGGTAGAACCCAGGAAGGTAATCACTGACATCATCCAGCCATTTAAGCAGGAAGTACTGGGCCGGCCCCTCCCACACTCCTGCCCTACTGCAGATCTACAAGCAGAAATGATGGTGAGTACAAAGGAAAACAAATACCTTAATAAATATACCTTGAAACAGATTCAACCTACAGTCCAGAAATAGTAACTTTAACCTAAACCTAGATAGATAGACACTGCAACATAATGCTAACACAAACAAACCCGGGATAGTAAGTGAAGCAAAATTGCAATGTTTAAATTAATCATTATAACCAAATATAGAAAGTAAGTGAATGAGAAGGAATAAGGGGCAAGTGGTGAACACAAACTGAACCACTTTGTCACAGACTGCATAAATATTCACCCCCTTCAAAGTGGTTACAATCACAGCACAGACTGTGTGTGGACACGTCTTAATCAGGCTGTGCATTTGGACGCTGCACATTTTACTACATTCTTCCATTCAAAACTTTTAAAGCTCTGAACAGTTGCGTGGGCATCGATCAGCTATGAATAGCCGTTTCCAAATCCGGCCACAAAGTCTCTTATCAGATTGTCCTGGGCTTGGACACGGCCACTCCAGCAGATTTACCAAGCTGTCTTCTAGCGATTCCTGTGTAGCTTTAGCTGGACGCTTCAAGTCGTTGTCTTGTTGGAAAATAAATGTTCTCGGAAGCTTTAGTTACACATTTTGTTGCATTTATTTTACATTTTATCTTTAGCAGCCTTCCAGAGTCAAGAAGCATCCCCGCATAGCACCATTTGGTCTAATGAAACTATTTACCTCTCATCAGACCAAAGAACTTTCTTCTTCTTGACCATGGTGTCTCCCACATGCCTTTTGGCAAACTCTAGTTTGAGGCTTGATATCGTTTTTTCTTCAGTGATGTCACTTTCCCATAAAGTTTGGACTGGTGAAGAACCAGGGTAGAGGTTGTTGTGTGCAGAGTCTCTCCCGTCTCAGCTGCTGAAGCTGGGAACTCCTTTAGGGTAGTCAAAGCTGCCCTGGGATCACATATTGTGGATCAGAATTCATTTGAAAGACCCAATCATGACCTATATGCAGTTTTCTGATAAATGTCAATGTATTTTCATTTAAAATCTGCACTAGGCATTGCACTCTAATAAGCAGTCACCATCTGGAGTGTTTGCTGCAGAAAAAGGCTGATTCTAGTCCCATCTTATCAAAGCACAGAGTATAGACATGGTAAAGTTTAGCGAATTCCACATGTTTATGTTTGGAGTGGTAGGACAGAAAAAAACGCATGCTTTTGTGAGATTTCTGTGAGTTTCTTGCAGTTTATTAACAATTTATACAGCCATAGTTGTATGACAAATGAAGCAAATTTTAAAGTAAAAAATCATAATAATACTTTAATTATCAACTCTTTCTGATATCTTGCTCATTTGGGAAAGAAGCTGTCCAGAAAACTTTACAAAGCAAAGTTATGCAGGAAAATGAAGCCAAAGACATTAAAAATAAATAACACTGCTATTGTTTAACAGCAAAGCAATAACTAGATACATCTGTTAATCAAATGCCAATAACAAAAGCAAAAAGAAATGTGCATTAGAAAGAAAAAAACTAATTAAAATAAAATGAAATTAATATAAATGGATCACTGGTCTTCTGTATCCACTTTAATCCATGTCTGTGTACCATTAATTTTGAGCATGATCAATTGATACACTGATCAAAGCATCTCTGTGGGGCCTCTAATACATGGGATACACATCTCCCAGCTTGCTATTGATTGGCTGCAACACTCTGTAACAGGGAATTGTTTGAGCAGATCAATGATGATAGGCAAAGCATTGTTATCAGTATTTAATAATGACTTTGTTATGGTATTTTGTAAATGAGTCCCCTTTTTGTTTCACTTGTTAAAAACTTTTTAATGATTTGGATTGTGTGGCAGTTGCTGTTAAGGCTTTCATGCCACAGCTTCTCAATTAACTTTCCGCTCTTGTTTCAGTCAATAGCCTATTATTTGAAGTTCATTAGTGCCAATTATTTGACAGTATACTCATTAAAATTGTAACCTGGGTGGATAATTTAATTGCATGGTTCTTATGAATATTGCATACAATAGTATTTATTTATAAGTGCTCTGAACAAATGCTTCAGAACTATTTCCTAATTTCAGCAGGAATATTTTGAAAATTTCTTTGTCAAATGTAATTTTCTTTTGGTACATTGTTGCATTACATTAATAATAACTCTTGAACATGTTAAAAACAATTGTTAAGTACTCTTTTGGGGCTTTATATGATAAACACACAGTTGCAGCTAATTTTGAAGTAGATAAAATTGCAAAAGGTTTTAGAACTTTTGAATGATTAAACCCTTAAGTGCAACTGTATCCACACAACCCACCCCACCACCACCTTTAACTCTAATATTTCAAAATAAAGTCCAATGCATTTAGAAATGTTCCAGTGAAAAAATTTACTTGTGTAAATACAGATGTTCTGTTAACATTCAAATTTGTTGAATCTTCTGTTAAAGCCTATAAGGACGACCAAGGGACACAGCAGACAGGAAGGACATGAATAAAGCTACAGTGAACTTCAAAGCAGGGTTTGGTCATAAAAGCATCTCAACCTCTATTCAGTCCATCTGTTTAAACTTGAAAGCAGGTGAACTGCGCAAACCTGTAAAAACATTTAGTCTGAACTGACACACCTGCCAAGGAGAGCATTAATCCAATCGGCTACCGGTCATTTTTTGAAACAAAAACACAAAAAGCTGCACCACTGCATGGCGAACTTAGGACTCTACGAAACAAATGTCACACAGTCAGACAATCATTATGTGTTGCTATTTTGTTGCAGATCACTACTTTGCAAAAAGGAACTGCAGTTCCTCTACTTCAGCCAGAAAACTCTCAAAATACATGGTTACCTCCAATCAGAGGTGGCTGTAAGAAGGAGCAGACTCTCTGAGGCAGACACCCGATGGTTTTAGGACCTAGTGTGGTAACAGGCCAACTTAGCTCAGCCCTAGTTTGCGCTTTGAGGAACCAACTTGTTTCTAACCAGAGGTTTGTCTCCCACAGCTTTTTGGTCCCTTGGATCCCATCGAGGTGAGAACTTACCTCCACCACTGAATCCAGGATCTCCATGCTCTCCTTGATGCTCCTTTGATGCGTCACCTGGACGGATCTCAGTTCCACCGATGTACAGCTCTATCTAGCAGCCTAACTGTCCACCATCCATTTCTATCTGAAATATTATCCTTCTCCAGATGCCACCATTCCCTACCAACCACATCTTCTGTCAAACAACTTCTTTGACATCTTCAGACTAGTGCAGCTCTGACAGCTTAGTAGCTGTTGAAATCCATTCTCTATCCTCCCCTACCTGTAAATCACCTGCCTAACCAGTTTGCCTTTCTCCTTAGTGTTTCCTCTGGTCTGATCCTCTGCAGCCACTCCTGGACTCCCTCTTCCTCTTTTCCACATCTCAATAAATTTGTTAAACCTACTTCTGTCTCTGTAGTTGTTTTCTCAGTGTCCATTTAAACTGGTATTATGACAACTTGACATTGTTTATAATTTTACTACTGTTCTTACTGTCTAGTTTCCTAACAACTGTGGGGGGGGGGGGGTGGGGGGGCTATGTTTCTTTGTTTGCCTTCTTTAAAAAAAAAAATTTTGTTT